AGGGCTTCCCTATGGAGAAGGAGCAGCAGGAGGATGGGAACTCTCTCAGGGGAGCAGCCTTGGTCCATCCCAGGAGGGATTCTCCAGGCAGTAAACCTCTCTGACCCCCAGCCTGCATCCAAACTCCCTCTGGAGAACAGAGTGGGATCACAGTCCCTTTGGAGGCACAGCTCCAGCTCTCAGCACAGAATCCAGGGGACGAAGTTTTACACCAGCACCCATGACACCAGCCAGTAATAGAGCTGGGAGATGGCTCAGTTCTTCTAGAAAACCTTTAATATGAAGTGTTTCACTTATTTTACACACTCAAGACTCTCAAGATCTTCTAATATGGAGCCAAACTCTGTCAGAGCACCCCAGTACACAGGACACTTGGAACAAAGGGGAATTTGTGTTCAATCCAGGGCTGGAACTGAGCCTCTCATACCCCAAGGAATCACTTCTGCTTGGGCATCAGGAAAGGCCCCTCTTGGTGAGAGGCTTACACATATAAAAACCCTGAATAAAACCATCAGGTGGTGCTCGTGGGGGATACAGAGCAGTTGACAGGCATGCTGGCAGCATCATGGCATCCCTTGGCAAGCCATTTTTAGCCCTTGGAACGCTGCTGCCCCAGGCCTCACTCCAGGGAAGGGGACAGCCCTCGGGTGAACCGGAGCTGGCAGCTCCAGCGGGCGCCTGGCTCCAGGCAGGACTGGCAAACAAAGGGCTCAGTGAACAAAACCCACCTCGAGAATCCAAAAAATGTTTTAAACAATTAATCCCACCAGAGGGAGGGGAGGAGGCCGGGTGGGACCAGAGTCACCTGACTGGATGGGACAGATAGAGGCCACAGCTCCAGAACCGCGCTCCGGAGCGAGGAGGAGACGGCACCGGGTGGGATTGCAGTGCCAAGATAAGAGCGGCACGGGTGTGTCCCGGGCTGCCGGGCCGGGTCCTCCTTCCCAGCCCCACGTCCAGGCCAAGCTGCTGCCCACGCAGGGCACCGGGGTGGCACAGGCGGACACATCGGGAAGGAGGGCAGGAGCGCGAAGCGAGGCTGCGGGAATGTGCCATGGGGACATTGCGCCACCCGCTGCGCCCTGGGCTGGGGCTGCTCCCCACGAGGTCCCGGCAGAGCAAATCAGCCTTTCCCCAACATCCAAGGCTCAAACCTGTCTTTCTAAAGCTCTCTGCTCCGCGCACAGCGGAGGAATTCAAGGACAGGTCGGCAGCAGAGCGGCTTCACCTTTGCTCCTTCCACCGGGACCTGTCCAAAGCCGAGCACCCGAACCCGCAGCTGTGCCCAGCCCGTGCCCGCGGCACTGCCCGGGTGCCTCGCTGCTCTCGAGGGACGGAAAGCAACTTCCCGATGGGAGAACCCGGCACACGCCGGCCCTCGGCACTGACGGGACAATTTTCGGGGACGGGCGGGACGCAGACCCGGCGCTGCGGCGGCTCCCGACAGCCCCCCACGAGCTGGGAGGGTTTGTTCCCTCATCTTGGCAGCAAGAGGCGTCCCAGCATTTCAGGACACACAACACACGTGGCCCCAGGCGTGAGCTCAACTATTTAGCTGAATCTCAGGGACATGCAAGCTCCCAAAATCCCAGCTGGGGACGGATCGGGGGTTCTAGGAAAGTGGAGTTCTCCGGGCAGACAACGCAGCTGTGGGTTAATTAACAGCCACTAACCAAGGCCAAACTATTACAGGGTTAATTAAGAGCTACCTAGGAAAGTGGAGCTGTTAGGGCAGGTTTTCCGCTCCAGGACGGGAACGGGGATGCTCAGGGGTTTGGAGTTACACCCCAGGACAAGCGAGAGCTCACGACCGACGCCAGCTCGCAGCATCACACGCTGCTCGGTGCGTCCCCCGCCGCTGGCACGGTTACCGAGCAAAAACGGCGCAAACCCGGAGCAAACCCGAACAAAACCCCGGTTGTCCTTGCTGCGTTATCCGGGGCTGCCCTTCCTGCCTGCACCCAAGCGCGGCCGGGTCCCGTCTCTGGAGTCATTCCCCGGCAGCCCTGCAAGGGGCCGAGGTCGGGGACCGGAGGAGGGGCGGACACCGCGGCCCCACCTCCGGTGCCTGGTCCTAGTCCTGGTCCCGGTCCCCTTCCCGGTCCCGGTCCCGGCACTCACCGATCGCCGTCCGCTCCGGCCGTGCGAGTGTCCTCGATTTGCATAACCCCGCCCCTAATCAGCATAGCCCCGCCCGCGCGGAGGGGCTGGCGGGAAGTCTCGCGGCCGAGCGCGGGAAAGGCGGCGCGGGAGGAAGCGGGCGATGGCGGAGAGGGGATTTGGGGTCTGAGAGGGGATTTGGGGTCTGAGAGGGGATTTGGGGTCTGAGCGGG